TGATACTTACCTTGAGGGGGGCCCAAACCACCTGCGACAGGAAACATGAAGCTGGGGGAGGAAAACAAGAGTGTGTTAAAGTGTCATTTTAGTGCAAATAGAAATGACTGAAAATCCACCTCGATTTGCACGTCAGCACCATCACCAGGAGCCTCCCAAGGTCTGGGCAGCACTTTGCCCTGCTCCTGCAGGTCTCACAGAACCCAACCCCTCCACTGGGCAGAAGTCCTCCCTCGCTGGGATCCCCCAAAGCTCTGGAGGGTCCCACCAGCACCGTCAGTGCTGCCTCGGGCTGGGAAGCCAAGAAAAACAGATCTTATCCACCCAGCAGCACTGGAAGGGCTTTGACTCATCAACATCCCCCCCAGGAGTTTCGCTGCCCACGCAGGTTGGGAACAGGTCAGTTTGCTGGTGTAGGCTAAGGCAGGATGAATAAGCATCTCCCTTTGCAAGAGTCTGACTCAGCAGGACCACTGACTGCACCAGACAACAGTTCTCAGCTGCCTGGGAATAGTTTTCAGGAGAGAAACCACCCATCCAACCCATTACCTCTACCTTTACACCAAATATCACAACATACTGGAGTTTCTATTTTCTCAGTTACCCAATTACAACAAAAACAGCACCTTGGAGAAATTACTCATTCACATATCAAGGGTCAAGTGCACCTGGAGGAAGAACCATTAAGATTTCAACTGAAATCCTAATGGAAACTGCTCTCCCTCGCTTTCAAAACAGCTGCCAAACAGCAAAAAGATCTGGTTTAAAATTCTCATTTGCAAGCAACTCGCAGAAACCCACGTCAGCAGCAATTTCCCAAACAAGAACCTCACTCAGTGTCCCAGGCAGTTATTACTTCAAAGTACCATGGAAAAGAAACACACTTATAGATATTCAATGTTCAGTTCTGAGGGTGGATGTGAAAGGAGCTGCCTAAGAGTACAGGAGAAAATGCCATCAGAAATGGCTGCAGAAGTTCTGAAAGCCAACCTGCTTTATAAATATAAAAGACCTGTGTAATATGAGCACTAAGATAAAATAGGGAATTTTAATTATGCATTTATCCAGGAGCAGATTGCAGCTCCCCACTGCACAGACAGCAGGTCACATGGTCACCAAGACAACTCATTCACTCTTCACTTCATCCTCTTACCAGGATCATCTTCATCCTGAAGCTTCTTCTTCAGCCCTGACCACCATGTGCTGATTTCTCCTTCCACAACTAACACACCCCCCCGTGCTTTCCAACGGGCCCAATCCTGCCATCCCCAACCCCCTCCACTTTGGGTTCTCCCCCTGAAGCACCACATAGACTCAGGTTACCTCAGCCCCAAACACGAGCAGGGCTCAGTTCACACCACACCCAAGGTCTGTTCCACTGACCAGTGGTCACTGTAATCCCCTGCTTGGCACACAACATCAACAGCACGAAGACAAACAGCTGAACACCACAGAGGGGCCCATCACTGAACCTGGGGGCTGTTTTCTCCACTCAGAGGCTGGAGTTGGTGAAGTAGCTGGATTTTGCCTGTGTTCAGTGTCAGTACAAAGTGCCTCCTTGGCAATACAGCCCCATAAACAAGCTGAGATGTGCAGAGCTTCTGTCATAAGACAGATCTGCAATTTTAGGCACCTTAAACTACACCATTCTTAGTTTAGTCAGAATAACGAAATATTAGAAGTCATTTTTGAAAAGCTCACAAGTATGAAGAAGGGTTCTAAGCTTCAGGTTCTCCCTTCTTGCTAGGGAATTAAGGTTTTCCCTTCTTGCTGGAGAACCTGGGCAACAAGAATTCTTCCAAATCAGCAAATCTAATGTAAACTGAACAAGCCTAGCAAGGTACCACTGCTTGCTGGAGCAAATAAAGGCCAAACTATTAAATATTTATCCCTTTCCACAGAGCTCCTGGTTTATTTATAAGTCTCTGTTGAAAAAAAAAAAAATAGAAACAATCAACAAAAAAAGCCCTCAGCTAATTAGAGGGCAGTGGAAGAGGAGCTAGTTCAAAGCAGCAAAGCAAGCTCCAGCAGCACAGCTCTGAACCTGCTGCTGGGATCCAGCATGGATCTCACTCCAGGATTCAGCTGTGCAACTGCCAACACCAGCCACACCTGCAGGTCCATTAAACCCCATCCAAGCAACAGGAATGTATTAATGAACTCCTCTTTGGAGATGCAAAAGTGCCCAGAGCCACCAGGTAAAGCAGCTGGTTCTCACTGCTGAGGGAGCCAGAGAAGGCTCCGTCCCCAGACTGACTTGGGAGCGAGGGCTGGATGTGATACCCTGCACAAATGTAATAAACAGAAGGAAAACAAAGCCATCACCCTACAACAGACCTCTTAAACTAGTAATATAAACCTCTAAACTCCTATTAGATGAGTATTTTAAATATGGAGCTTAAAACTCACAAAAAATCCCAAACCAAACAACCAACAGCTTCAGACAAAACGCAGGAGCACGGGGAGAAGAAACTCCTTTTCTGTACTCAAATTTCACTACAACAGGTCCAAACCACACAGAACGTTTTCCCATCTACAAGTGGATTTTTAAAACCCCTTAATTCCCAAGCAGCACAACTCCATCGACACAACACAGACTGTCAGAGAATTTTTGAGTGGCAGAAATGCACAAAAATTGAAGGAACCCACACAGACAGGGAACAGAACTTTTTCTCTACCTCCAGACTTCATCCTCAAATAAATCAAAATACCAACAATGGGAAACGATGATTTTTAAAATCCTTTTATTTTGCAGAACCTATATTCCACTGACAACATTTTTGTTATTTTACTACAAGAATACTGAGGAGGCAATGTGGCTGTAAGAGGTTCATCTCCTTGCAAGAATTATTTCAGATTTATTCGTGGGGAAACAAGCCCCATGAGACAGCCTCCCATCCTTCCCACAGCACACACAGGCAGGTGCATACACCTCAGCTTTTCTCTTCCCCAGTATTCCAGACCCTTGGATGGTTCTTCCCAAAGCAGAGCATCAGCCTGGCTCAGACAGGTGATGGGGACACCCCGGACCTGTGCCTATGGATGAAGGTCACCCCAGAGCAGACCTCCCCTCCTCACATTCCCCATAACACAGACAAAACCATGGGCTTCACATATCCAAGACAACTCAGTGAACTTAACTGTCAAATGCAGAATTTCCTCAGTCTCCCTAGAAGTAGGACAAGAGATAAATAGCATGCAAGAACCTACATTAAAAAAAAATTACTAAGTCTGCAAAGGTGGTGAAATCCAGCTTCCTAATCTTTCCAGAGACACAACTGACATATCTTTTGACACTGGTTCTTTCTCCTCAGTCCTTCCTCCTGCTGAGGTGCCCTTTGTGGGATGGAGGGGACAAGGGAACTCCTGACTGAGGCACCATCCCACAGGCCTTCCCGGTGACAATAAAAACATCTGTCCCTGCTGACAGCCACCCACCCACCACTGGGGGAACCCCCAAATCCCTTCCTGCCCCAATATCTGAGATTGCAGCTGCAGAGCCTGATGGCAATTAGGGCGCACCTGCCCCAGCCTGGACATGCTGAAGGATCAAGTGGGTCCCCAAAATGTCAGTAAATTTCAGCAAAATGTAGAGCCAACGTGGCTGCACTCCCCACATCACACCTGGGACCCCTACATCCCACCCAGGACCCCACACACCCCTCCTGGGACCTGCACACTCCACCTGAGACCCCATATACCCCACCCAGGAGCCCACGTATTCCACTTGGGACCACCACTCTCCATCCAGGATCTCACATACCCCTCCTGGGTCCCCCACGCCCCGCCCAGGACCTCGCACACCTCAGCAGAGACCTCACGTACCTCACCTGAGACCCGGGACCCCCCCACACCCCCCGGGCCGTGAGCCCCGTGCCCTCACATCCCCCCGCACCCCGAGCCCCCCACCCCGGCCGTCCCCCCCTCACCTCCACCCTCTCATCGCCCCCCAGCTCCCGCCATCTCAGTGTCCCCTCATCCCCTCCTCTATACAGCCCCTCACTCGCACCCCCCGTCACCACCGACCTGGCGGCCCCGGCCGCTCCGCCGCCCGCCCCGCCGGCGCCCCCCGCGCCGGGCCCGGGCCGCAGCGCCATCTTCGCGCTCGGCCCCGCCGTCTGTCACCGGAGCGGCGGCGGCGGCTTCCGGGGCCGGCCCGGACAAGCACCGCCCACGGGCCCGGACCCTCCGTGCCACAGCCCTCAGTGCCTCCGATTCACAACCTCTCAGTCCCACAGCCCCTCCGTGCCACAGCCCTCAGTGCCTCTGATCCACAGCCCCTCCGTGCCACAGCCCTCAGTGCCTCGGCTCCACAGCCCCTCCGTCCCACAGCCCTCAGTGCCTCTGATCCTCACTGCCTCTGATCCACAGCCCTCCCGTCCCACAGCCCTCAGTGCCTCGGCTCCACAGCCCCTCCGTCCCACAGCCCCTCGGTTCCTCAGCCCTGCGGGTCCTCGGTTACACGCGGCGCCCGGGGATGGCCTGGAGGGGATGAGGGGCCCCGGGTTCCCCTCAGGAACGCCGCTTTCCTGTAGCCAAACCAGGTAGATAAAAAAGGAGAGGACAAGGAGGAGGCGTCCCCTGGGGTGAGCTGGGGGCTTGTTACAAGAGCAGGGAGTGACAGGACAAGGGGGAATGGATTCACACTGACAGAGGGCAGGGAGGGGATATTGGGAAGAAATCCTTCCCTGGGAGGGTGGGGAGGCCCTGGCACAGGTTGCCCAGAGAAGCTGTGGCTGCCCCATCCCTGCAAGTGTCCAAGGCCAGGTTGGACGGGACTTGGAGCAACCTGGGATAGTGGGAGGTGTCCCTGCCCATGGCAGGGGGTAGGACTGGATGGGCTTTAAGGTCCCTTCCAACCCAAACAATTTTGTGATTCTGACACGACTAAAGTGGACTGAGAACACACTGAGCAGATGAAGACATAGAAAACATCTGAGATGGGGCCTTCTTGCCTGCAGACTTGTCCCATTGGGGCTGTATAGACAAGCAAATCTCTGTATTATCTTATGACCCTGTTTATTCTGGCTTGAGGCTCAATTATGAAACAGTACAAAAGTACCTGAGTTTACAGACATGTAAATTTCAAAATGATTTTACAGAAGAAAAAAGTAGGAAGAGCAAGGTTTTACTTTGAAGTGGGTTTGGTTTGGTTTTCCTGAAGTGCCCAGGGAAGTCTCTGACAGCTGCGTTTATCAAACCTGACAGTAAACACTGTGTGTTTCCTGCCTCAGAATCTTCTGGAAGTCTAACAAACATATTAGGGGCGATCTGAACACAGAACTGACAGTATTTCCAAGGAGCAATACACAACTGTGTGCAAGTAACACAAAGTGATGCTATTTTTGAACTATTGTCAGAAACACAAGGCATGCACTGCACGAGCACACGCTTCAGCTTCTATAAGAAGCATCCAGGAATCCTCCCCTGGCATTGCAGTAGAGACTTTCTTGCATGTAAACCTCCATCCTCACCCAGAAGGAAACACAAGAAATATTTTTCTCTCTTCACCATTGCTGTCATCTTCATTCTTCTGTTCCAGCACAGAGGTGTCAGCCCCTACTCACCAGTCTGAATTCAGCTTCCTGAAACAGTCTGTAATTTACTGCCCTGTTTGTCTTCTTTAACTTTCTTCTTTTCCTTAATATTTTCCTTTGTAGTTTTCCTACAAAAAAAACACATCAGAGACCATGACACCTGAACACAACAAATGAAGTATATCACAGCAGTTTTTATTGTGTTTGTGCAGCTGAACATAAATCCTTCATCACCAACGCTCCTAAGTGGGTAATAAATCCAATTTTCAGTAGACAGATATTGACACTAAAACTTCATCACTAAAATCACTACGACTTTTCATCCAAACAAGTTATCTGTTATTTTGGAGGAATTTTCTGGGCCTTTTCTGGATAAACAGCATCTCTTACCTCCTCTTGAGAAGAAAGTACTTACATTTTTCTTTTGCCTTTTTTCAAGAAGCACTTTGGGGTTGTACAAATGGATTCTCTTGTCAAAGGTTTCTTAATGAATTTCTTCTTTTGTTTGCTGAGAACAACATTTAGTGAAGAAGGATTAAATTACTTTAAAGGGCAAAAATTATCCAAACTAAATAAAACAGATAATGAAAACCTTTTCCTGGCTGAAAGGGATTTATGGGTGTGAAAATATTTTCAGTGTTGTTTACACCAAGATTAGATCAGCTACATCGTCTCGAAGACATTCACAGAAACTTTATTTTAATATAAGTCTTATATATATATATGTTTCTAGTTTTAGAAACTTAATAGCTATTAAAAGCTATTAAGGAACACTAATTAAAAAACTGGTGAACTACTCAAAGAACATACCTTTGCAGCTTGGGCAAGTGTTTTATGTAGTCTGGCACAGGACAGCCAGCTCGCTGGATAACGTTGGCTATACTGGAAAGGAGAGGAGGGAAGAGATCAGCTCCAATGCTGGACAAGTGATAAGGATGTTCTGTGGAAAACAGCAATCCTGACAACTGGCTGTTTTGTTGTTGGGTCTTTTGTTTTGTTGGTTTTTTTTTTTTAAAGCAAGAAATAAAGACACGAGTGAGTCTGAAGTACACTGAGGTGTGTGGGACCAGACACAACCACCCCACACAAACCATGTCTGCTCTATTTCCAATTTACCTCCGTAATAAAGGTTTATCATCTTCTGTAAAGAAAGTGACTGCTTTTCCTCTGTGCCCTGCTCTTCCAGTACGACCTGGCAAACACAAATGATGCAAGATTTTACTTTAAATTCATCTCCCTTTATTCCTCCTCACAGCCCCAGCCTCCTGATGCGTGTTCATATACTGAGCAGATGTTCATATACCAAGCAGCCAATCCCCAAAGATTCTTCCTACTGAAAGCACAAGTATGTCTAAAACATCTAAATACTTAAGGTTCATAGAAGAGTGGCAAAAAGTAATGCAATTTTATTGAAAGTTGAGCCCAGAAACAAATTGCTCAAGCAATGCAGAAATTTGTGCTGCAGCACAGAGCTTTGGTTTTGTGAGTTTTGCTCATGCACAAGAGCATCTACATGAAAGATCTGGGAAACAGGAAAAAAGAGATAGTTTTGTGAGCAATCCCTCACCTATCCTGTGGATGTATTCCACTGCACTCGTTGGCAAGTCATAATTGATGACCATATTCACTCCTTTGAAGTCAATCCCTCGAGCCAGCAAGGCCGAGCAGATGAGCACCCAGATCTTCCCAGCTCTGAAACTGTGCACTACCTTATCCCTCTAGGAAAAGAACAGAAAAGATATTTGGAAACAACAAATAACCCAATCAGCAATTTGAGAAAGGAGGTGAACTTGTTTCCTCGAAGTCATCATGATGTTAAGGAATAAAACTAAACCTCTAAACAAAAAACTGCAGGACTTTGCTGCCAAAGTTACCTGGAGTCACTTTGCAACAGTCTTGCTTTGACCTTTCTTTCTAAAGCATTTTTTGAAAAGTAATTAAATCCTCCTACCTGTTGCTGAGTCTTGTCTGCATGGATGACATCCACATTGATGCCTTCATAAATGAGCTCATGGAAAAGCTCTTTAGCCCTCTCAATAGACTGTACAAAAACAAGGACTGGAGGAGCAAAACCCTGCAAAGAGTAAGTTTATCTCAGGTTCAAGAGTCCTTTTTCCTTGCAGAAACTGAGACACAGATTTGGCCAATGGTTTAACACGTGCCAGAGAAGTCTCTGAGCTGGGAAATTAGGAGTTTCTGACAGAGCACACAGCTCAGTTCAGCAGGAAGCAGAATGTGCTCAGTCTCTCCAAATACCTTTTTAACAAGCTCCCTCATTGCTGTTAGCTTTCCTGTCTCAGATCCAACAAACAGCAGCTCTTGTTCTACTGTCTCTGCTGCAGAGTTTCTGAAATCAGAAATCCAACAGAAATGTGCTCCCATTAGTGTTTTTATATAGATATATATATATAAATAAATACATCTTTTACATATTAATATCTACAAAATCCATAAAATATTACCTGGCGAATGAGAAATGCTGCACAACAAAATTATTTCACCAGTGCACACTCCTAAGATTAACATTTATTTGATGATAAAGCAATTGGCAAAAGGAAAAGAACAACTCATTTCAGCATGAGATGTGAGAAAGATCTGTGTGCCTACACAATTCTTTTCTGGAGACACAAAACCTGCAGTACTGTGACTAACAACATCCCTAAAACCGAGCAGGCTGACGACACAAAGAAAAATTTCCCAGGAAATAAAAAAGAACTGGAGAAAGTCCAAGTCCACCTGCACACCCACCTTGCCCCAACAGACACAAGGACAACGCTGTCCAGGCTGAGCTTGCACCACTCCTCCACGTCGTGGGCAAAGGTGGCACTGAACAGGGCCCTCCTCACCAGGGGGGAGGTACATCCCAGGAAGATGGAGGCCAGCTGCTCCCGGAATCCCGACTTCCCATCCTCAAACAGCTTGTCTGACTCGTCCACCACCAGCCACTCCACACTGGGAACAGGGAGGTTTGCTTTTCAGTACAGCCACCACTTCTGAGTGGCAAAGCCAGATTTGGGACAGACTATCCCTACCTGCTCAAGTCTATTGCTGGAGGATCTTCTTTCAGCAAATAAATGAGTCTGTTGGGAGTGGTAACCAGAATATCTATGAAAAGAAAAGAAAAAAATGCAAAATATTGAAAAAGACACCGAACAAACCAGTCTCACAGGGCCCTGAGAAACACCAGTTCCAATCCAATCTGCTAGAGGTAGAGTTTAACAGAGTCCAGGTCAGGCTCACTTCCCATCTCTCCCCTGCCACTCTCAGAGCATTGCACAACAGATCACACACCCTGAGTGTCACTAACCATCTCCTTAAAACCACACAGCCCAAAGAGAAAGGTCAGTGACATTTCTGACATTTTTAGAAGCACTTCAGTCGTTAAAACAGTTACCAAATTTCTTGGAAGACTTGGGCCCAAACTTCTTGGCTGCTTCAGCTGCCTTGTGGATCATGTGTATCCTGAAGCCTGTGCCCTCTGCCAGCTTCACCAGCTCCCGGTGGGTCTGAAAAGGCAGCAGAGGTGGATTTTCAAACTGAGCTGAAGAGCTTTTCTGACCAAAAAAAATCACAGAATCATGGAATGGTTTGTGTTGAAGGAGATCCTAAAGATAGTCGAGACCATGGGCAGGGGCACCTTCCACTAGCCCAGGTTGCTCCAAGCCCTGTCCAACCTGGCCTTGGACACTTGCAGGGATGAGGCAGCCACAGCTTCTCTGGGCAGCCTAATCCTGAAGATACAGCTTCAAACATCACCCTGATTTCAGTGTTAGGAGAAATCTCTCTAGTTTTCTTAGCATAATAAAATGCAGCTCCCTAACATGCATTATTCCCTTCAAAGTTCTCACAGGTCTCAATATGTAGCTCCTAAAAGTCCCCTCTGCCATTTGAATAAAAACTGCCCAATGTTGTCCTTTTCATTTCATTTTAATAACACAACTTCAATATAAAGCTATTCCTTGAAATTCTGTGTTTGGGACAAACAGATAAACCTCTTGTAGCAATCTCAAGTAGGAAAGGAGGTTTTAAGAGCACCTGAGCATTGGGCAGTTTAAAATATGATCAAAGAATCTCGAGCCTCTAATCTAATCATTTAGATTAGACTCAGATAGTAGATATGTACCTACTCCACAGAAGTCAAAGGACTTAAAAGAAACATTTAAATTATCTTTTTTCTGATATCTGAGGGTAATAAAGGAAAAAAAATATTTACCAAGCTGCTATTTTACTGATTCTGAGGGAAAACTTTGAAGTACATCAATTTGACAAGACCTTTCCCCCCAACACACACCTGGCTGGCAAGTTCTCGGGTCGGTGATATGATCACAGCCCTGAATCCTTTGTTCCTGGGTTGTTTCAGATGTGTTAAGAGAGGGATACAAAATGCCAGTGTTTTTCCAGACCCAGTAGGAGCTGAAGCCAGAAGCTCCCGACCCTGTAAGAAAAACAAGGGGGTTGTATTTCACCAGGGTAAAAAAAAGGAACAAAAATCACATTCCCAGAAATCCCAACGGTGCAAACTGACCCAAAAATACCTCAGGAAATGCACATTCCAGAACTACTGCAATGGCTAAGTTCTGAACTCTGATGCAGTTGATTTATCTCTAAACCTGCCCCAAACACTGCCCCAATCCCAAATTTTGCCAGAATCCCTGAAACAAAGCACAGTCCCAGAGAACTCACGTGCAGCATGACGGGAATCGCCTGCATCTGGATTGGAGTGGGGACATGGAACCCTGCAGCCCGGATGTTCTCCATGATTTTAGGGTGCACCTTGTACTCCTCCTGAAGCTGGTCAAAGGTGGCAATCGGGTCAGGGAGATCTGTTCCCTGAATATTGATCCTGTGCTGATTCCTGAAGCGATTTATCTAAAAGGCAAAAGACAAACTCTTTCTTTTTTCCTTGACACCATTAAACTAAATCTGGATTCACCTTCTGGTTCTTTACCCCACACTCAGTCACCCTCCTCCCAAGAGGAAATAAATAAATGAATTAACTGAGTAAATGAACCTCAGTTTCCAGATAAAACAGCCACAGAACCCCAAGAATCTGTTTCTACATCAGAATTCCCTGCTCCCACCTTTTCTCTCCTCAAACGTTCAAGCTTCTCTGCAGTAGGTTTTTTGTCTTTTGCCTCTTCAAGTTTTGCTTCCAGAGAGGACATCCACTTTATTCCATTGTTTTCTGACAGCTCTGGCATTGATGCTGCTCCTGCAAGTTCCAAACAAATTGATATTTCCATTAGTAAAATCCAGACAAAAGTTATTTGGAGACAAAGAACATCTCAAACCCTGTTTTCTCTCATTCTCAGTAAAATTAACAAAGACTCCAAAAGGATGACAACCACATCCTCCTTCAGTGTCAGCACTGAATCTTGGCCCAGTTATTTGATCAGCTCTGACCCAGACCAGCCAAGGAACCCAGAAGCATTTTTTACTCTGGTAAAATGATCTACAGAACCTGCAGACTTAAAATAAACTGAAACAAGGAAGAAATATGAACTTCATCAGGGTATTCATCAGTGATAGGACATGAGGGAATGGCTCTAAGCTGAAGGAATGTAGGTTTAGATGGGATATTGGGATAAAACCCTTCCCTGTGAGGGTGGTGAGGCCCTGGCACAGGCTGCCCAGAGAAGCTGTGGCTGCCCCATCCCTGCAAGTGTCCAAGGCCAGGTTGGACGGGGCTTGGAGCAACCTGGGCTAGTGGAAGGTGTCCCTGCCCGTGGCAGAGAGTGGCATGGATGGGCTTTAAGATCCCTTCCCACCCAAACCATTCCGGGACTCCGTGATGATTCTGCCCGGGATACACGTGTGTGCATAAAAATACCTCGCGCCTTTTTCTTTTTTCTTTTCCCCTCACTGCTTTCTGCCGTTCTTTTCCTCTTTCCCGCCGCCTCTCCATCGTTTTTCCCTGCTCCATCCTTCTGCTGCTTCACCTCCTCTCCGGCCCCCGTGAGCCCCCAGCCCTCCTCGGCAGACCCCCGAGGGGCTCCCTCCTTATTCCCGAAGAAGTCGAGGCTCTCCAGGGAGACGCTGCCGCGGTTTTCCCTGACCACCTGCGGGAGAAGCGGGACGAGGCTGAGCCTCCATGTGCAGCCCCCGCGGGCGGCGGGGGCGGCGCTCCGGAGCCTGAACCGCGCAGGGGCCGTTCCTCGAGCCCGCCGCGGCCTCCCCGCGGTGCCCCCTCACCCCGAAGCGCCGCGCGTCGCCCCCGAAGCGCCGCAGGTCGAAGCGGGCCCCGGCGCCCAGGCGGCGGAACAGCTCGTGGGTCTCCATGCTGCCCTCCCGGCATCCCCCGCGCGCCCGCCGGAACCGGGGAGCACTTCCGGTCCAGCTGCCATGGCAACCGCCCTGCGCGTGCCGTGGCGACGCGTTGCCATGGCAACGGTGGTCAGGCTTCGCTAGGCCGCGGCGGGCCTGAGCCCGCGGGAGAGGCCGCAGCGACATGGGCACGGCTGAAGCCACAGCGCGAGGGGGGAAAGCGAGGATTCCTCCCCCTTGTGTGCCTGTCACTCCCTCCGATCTGCCCCTTCCATCTCTGCTGCAGTCCCGGCGGCTGGAAGGGATTTGACCGGAGGATGTTGTTGCTCAACTGCTTTGCTTAATCCTTGATTTATAGTAATACAATCCAGCCTCACAACTGTGCCTGAAGAAAGAAACCCTTGAGGCCATGACAGGAGCAACCCAGTAACTAGTGCAGCTGCTCAAGCCACTCAAGAGAGTTTGCCCAGATTAAGATCAGAATTTACTTAATTCATGTATTTCTTCATTATGATAAACTGTGAGATCCAATAGTGCAGGTAAATCTATCAGATCAAAAAATACAGATATTTTTTTCCTGGTTGTTCTTGAAGTAAAACAAACAGAAACCCCATTAAGCAGCAACAAAAACTATAGAACGTAATAAAGATCTCAAGGGCTAAAGGTTTACATTGCTGAAATCCAAGAGCTCTAAGACATATAGGCAATGGCTGTTCCTCCTGTAACATTCACTACTTTAATAACAAACTCTGAAATGAAAAATTGGGTAAACCTGATCCTCCCCTCCTCCCCTCTCTGTCTGATTTATAGTGCTTTCTCTTTGCCAAACTTTTAACTTCCCAGCAGAAGTGGGAGCAGCCACACAGAGCCCTGGGTGCAGAGCACCACAGTGGTGACAATTCCCCTGTTTGTGTCCCCAGTGGTGTATTTACAGTGAATAAAGACCCAACTCCGCATCCTTCATGCTGTTCCCAGGCTGAGGCTCCTGCTTTTCTGCCGGGAGAAGTGATTGTGGTTGCTGTGAGAGGATGGGGAAGAATGTGGAGGCATTTGTGTAACAAAGAACTATAAATCATCTCCAGTATCCATCACTCACCAAGGGATGCTGTCGGCAGACTCAAGAGTGAGGAAACGGGGAATATTCTCTTCATCAGGCGACTGGGAAATCCCTTTGTGTAAGGAGGGAGCAGCTCTGCTTCCGAGGAGGCAGCACTGGGCACTGGGTGGGCAAAGAGCTGTGTGCCAGGAGTGAAACACCATAGAATCATGGAATATCCTGAGCTGGAAGGGACACACAGGGATCATCCAGTCCAATTCCTAGCCCTCCATCTCTACTACAGCAAACAAGAAACATCCACCTGTTCCAGCTAAAAGAGAAGCATCAATCCCCCCAGACACAGCCACACTCAGGAGGGGTGGCAGCATTTATTGCACCAGCTCGTGTCTTTATTTTAACCCCCTCACCTGGTTGTACGTGCAGAGGAACACGGCCCTTCCACACACCAGGGCTGGATGAAGGTATGTCAGAGCAGGGAAGTGCTGGCCCGTGTGCCTGGAGCTGCTGGCAGGATGCCTGGAGGCTGGACTGGGATGTGGGGGAGAGCCCAGGCTCCTGGTTTCATTTGTTATCCTTGCAGAGAGTCTCTGGGACCACAGAAGATGATGAACAGCCAGGTACACTCCTGACCCCAGTGCAGCCCTGCCCTCCAGGGGCTCAGGGACCTCCGTGGTGGTGCAGAGCAGCACAGCTGAGATGTGGTGTTCTCATCCTCAGGCTGTGCCCGACACATGGAGCCGAAATAAAACCCTGTAAGATGGCAAAGCAAATTAGCTGAGCACATTTGTTCCATCATGTGGACACCCAGATCAAAGATCCCTACCTGCAGCCGTGGGCTCCCCTCCCGAAAAAGCCCAGCTAAGCCAATCCCTTCCCTGTGTGTGTTCGTTTGTTCCACAGGTGTGAGGCAGGAATTACAGGGCAGCGGGACTCGTGCACATCTGCCCCCCGTGTCCTGCCCTCCTGCTACATCATCATCACTAATATGCACATAACAGTCAATTAGCCTGGCTGGGAGCACTGGTGACCTCTGATCCCTGCTGTGTCCCCCGATCCATTACCAGCCCTCAGCCCCGGCTCTCAGTATGAATTGATGTAGCCCCCATTCTCTTGCGGCACAGAAACATGCGTCCTCATTCATCTGTCCACTTCCACTTTCTGTTCCTTTGTCCTCCCCTTCTGTTCCCTGTGTCGCTTAACCTGGTCACCACTTCTTGACCCCACATCCTCGTCCCTCCCGAGGGTGTTGTAATCCCGACCACTAGCAAAAAAACTTTTACTTTTTTTCCCCTTTACTCACATCTTATTTAGCAAAAAATGGTTTCCAGCAGTGTGGGAGCTTTGATCCCCTATTTAAGAAATCCTTGCAATGTTTTTTTAAAGACTTTCTTTCTAAGGCAAATGAATTCTTCATAAAGGGGGAAATGGTGTGCTGGTTGGGCTCTGTTCATCTGAGGAAGACAAATGATCTGTTTTATTACTTGAAAAGCATAACAGTTGAGTGTGTAGATTTGTGATTTATCTGTAATTAAGATTCCATTTGAGCAGCATATTAATTACAGAGAGAAGAATTAATTTTGCTGAATAGAAAAGTAAAACCAAAGTTCCTTGAGTTAGAAGGTAACATAGAATGCCTGAGGTTCAGGGTTTGTGTGGCTCTGCATTACACCTACACTGGGACAGGACAACTCTAGGGGTTTTTTTGACTTTCAAGTTTTGTCCCTGGGTCAGAGAAATAAAGTCCAGGGGGTCAGAGCCTTCTCCCTGCCACTGCTGGTGGCTCCCACAGCACTCCCGCTCTGGCTCTCCTGAGCCCATTGTGCTGCTCCTTTGCCCCAGGGCTGCACCAGGACCTGCCAGGCTCCCACCACCTGCAGCAGGGGGAAAGGACCTTCCAGGATTAAATGAAGGTGCTCCCTGTGCCAGCCAAGCCCTGCAGCCCCTGGGAACATCAACCCTGAGCTTTTATTTACCCGTTTACCCGTGTGCTACAGCCCGTGGCTCAGACTGTTCACACCAGGTGTTTAACCTGACCACACGCAGTGAAACCAGACTCCTTCCTTCCTCCAAGTGTCCGTCCCTAGTCCCCAGAGGACCCAGGGTGGTGTCTCGCCCATCTCCTCCGTGTGGGAGATCTCGTCACATTCACGGGGGAAGGAAAATGAGAGACTTGGGCGTCTGCCTGTGAGGGACCTTTAGGGAGCAGATGGTGTGAGCAGCTCAGGAGGTTTGCTGGGACTGCTGTGGTGGGTGTGCAGGGATGGACCTGCTGGTACTCCCAGGTGGAGAGGTAGCCCTGGCTCATCCCTATGGGATGTGGAGCACTGCACACATTGGCCTGTCATGGCAGAGGGTCGGGATATCAGGATATCAAGGCTCCCTGGTGAGCCCCAGATTTGCAGGTCCCTTGGCTGCTGGGGGAGGCCAGTGCAGGGCAGTGCAGCAGCAGGTGTGGAAACCACGGCACCTGGAGCTGCAGGAGCAATCAGAGATGCACTGGAGCAGGCAGAGAGGTTTTCTCTGGACACTGAGTGCATTTTAAAGTGTTTGTCCACGGTGCATTGGTTCAGGACAGTAAACTCTTACAGCGCTATTCTGCTGGTCTTTATGGCTCACAACTCTGCCCCCATCACATTTTCATGGACTTGTGAAGACCTCCTGTGAGCACATCATGGACACCCCATGGCAGCAGGAGACAGGATCAACACCACACCCCCTGGCACAGGGATTCCTCCAGCTCCTTGTACCTGCTCCCGCAGCCAGACCGCAGCGGGGAGCTGGCAGAGCCTGCAAACAGCCTGGCCTCCCAACACAAGCACTTTCTGCATTCCTCTGTGTACTCCTCAAACTCCGCCACCAGCCCAACCGAATCCTCTCAAAGGCTTCAAAGGGCAGAGCCTGTTTGCTGTCCGCAGGGAATGACAATGCTTTCCCTTTTGACCTGTCGCGCAGGACGGCACCGCCGGGCAGCCATGCGCGGGATGCACCGGTGGGGAGCACAGCCCCAGCCTCTGCACAGCCCCACACCACTGCTGCTGCTTTTCCTGCTGAGATTTCCAGCAGATCCAGCCATCTGGCTGGACTGGCAGAACGAGTCTGGAAAGCCCGCTCGTTGAGCCGGTGCTGTTGCGCAACTGTGTGTTACCCGTGTGCTCACACCAAGGGTACTCATAAAGCTGCTGGAGTTGCTCCTTGTACTTCGGTGAGTTTGGAAAGGCCGGTGCCTTCCTGGCCAGCAGGACATCTGCTCCCCCACAGGGGTTACCTGGGACTTCCTCAGCAATCCATGTTGGCTGCCGGACGATGTGAGCCGGCCTGGCTGCAGCCCAGCCAGCACCAGAGCCCTGGGATGGCGGTGGGGTCCCAGTACTGCCCTGGCAGTGAGGTCTTCACCCTCACCAGGCTGCTGTCAAGCACCTGGGGACAGGGGCCTCAGCACCAGGTGCCCCAGAGCTCGGCCAGCAGCCAGCACAGTGTTCCCCCCAGAGGGGGTTTCCCTGGCTCTGTTCCTCCCGCAGTGACGGAGGTGACACGCGCCACAGAGCCCCAGTCCCCAGGCACGGCTGCAGCCCCCGCCGAGGGCTCCTGCTCATGGTTTGATAAAGCCCTAGCATGGCCCCTGGGGCACGTGGAGAGGGTGGCTCAGCTGGTTTTGACCCAGTGACTTCACTGGCAGCACTGAGGGTGCTGCAGCACAAGCAGGAGGCAGTCAGGGCATGGGATTTACCCACCAGGCAGGTGTCACCGGCTGTGCGCAACTCTGGAGGTAAAGGAGAGGTCATGCTCCTGCCCAGCCCTCCCACATCCACCTTCACACCTCTCAGAGCTTCCCCATGCCCTTCCCCTGACCCACAGCCTGTGCAGAGATCCACTACAGCCCTGACCCTCACTGTTACCCCCTGGCCTTGGCAATGCTGGGATTTTGGGGGATTTTTCCTTTACTCACACCTGCACTTCAAATTAAATGCAGCCCTGTCCCTTTGCCCTGCCAGGA